AGTAAAAAGTGAGCCGCCGAAATAAAACTACTTCTGGTTTGAGCGAAAATATCCGCCATTTATGAGTTAAAATATATGATGTTGCATACCATTTACCGATCCCTGAAAGGCATTATTATCAATATTATTTCAGATTTCAATGTTGGCAGCTTTAATTTTGCAACAGATTGAAGTTGTTTCTGTTTTGTATAAACAGCCATACTGAGGATATTCCCTCAGGTTTTCTTGAGGCTCGAGGTCATGGGACCCGACTAGTAACCTATAATCGAAAAACCATACCCAAGGAAAGTTTGCTACGTGGAGTCGTAAAACTACTAGAAAATCCAACAATTTTATCTGCATAAGATGGAGAGCATTGTTGAACCAGGATTCAACATGCTGTAATTTGGAGATAATTTATATTTCTCTTTTCATCCAATGTTTTTTTTTTTTACATATCGTACAAACAATTTACGATTTAAAAAAGTTAAATATTATCCCATGTTGAAAGCTATAAAAAAGAAAGTATATATATATAGATATGTATATATTACAATGCTGTATAATATACATTCGTAATACATTATTTTGTATTACAAATGTACATTATACAGCAAGGATGATGCTCATTAATTGCGTGGGAAGACTTCAACTATGATGGTAAGTTTGACATAGCTCCTTCCCAGGTCACCAATCCTTAAAAAATTCTAGAAACCCTATTAGTGCCATTTGCAAAGAGAATTGGCGGCCCAACTCAGATTCATAAACTGTTTCAAAAAAATGATTGGCCTGCCCATTCCCCTGACCTAAATACACAAGAAAACGTGGGGAAGGGGTGACCGCAATCCTCAGTAGAGCTGTATGTACCAAAAAGGAGCAGTTTTAGTCCTTGGAAGAGTAAAAAGCAGACATTACTGAAGCCTAGGATAATAATGTTGCAAGTGCCCTCCAGGGTTTAGTAAATGGTATGCAACATCTTATATTTCAAGTTATGTATAAACGTGGCGAATGTTTCGGTTATAATCACACTTATATAATCGAGTAGATTTATTTAGACAATTCAATTTTTTTAAGTATAGCAGAAAGTGAGTTACTCCTTGTGAATATGTATTTGTATATAGACTTTCTTAATATACCTGTAAGGTTTTCATTGTTTTTATTTGCGCTCAGTTCATAAAATAAAGGTGGCTTTCTTTCTAAGGAACACACTGTAGTAAATACTTTCTCCACCACTTGTAATTTTTGTTTTCACCCAGTTCTCTGTTAATTTAAGTTTAAAATTGTCTGTAACCCAATTAATAAGCATATACTATCCCTGAAAATGATGTTAAATAATAATAATGCTGCAAATGAAACTACCAAAAACAGACGCATGCTTTATTCTCGTTGTCTAGCTCTATTTTCTTATTTAGCACCAAGCTTACCTATTCTTAATTTGGATATATTAATTATGTTTAACAACATGCATTTAAGCCGATTTGAGTCGAATGGACTCCTGAAAAGTAAGTGCCCAGAACTCCTTAAGTTAAGTTGTTGATCCACTCCTGAATATTAGGAATAAAAGCTTCAACTTTCGTTGATTTATACATTTCATTTTTCTAGAATTAAAAAGACGCAAGAAACTGATTTATAAACTTATGTCAATTTCAGATACATATTTAGAAGTTCAAAATTCTTTTACGCATGAATTTCTTGTTGAGGTACCCCAACAATAATGATTACTAAACAATTTCCCTTTGAGACTCCAGGTTACACCCTAAACTGAACCTATACAGAATTCTACTGAAATCTAATACAGACCATATATTATGAAGGCCCAAAGAATAAGTAAAAATTGAATTTGCTGATTTAAAAAAAAAAAAATCGATATTGTCCTAAAATATTATTTTTAATTGTTTGCCTTGAAATTAAAAAAAAAATAATAAATGACACTAAGAAGAAAAAAAAATACTCAACTTTATACATAAAATGCCTACTTTAATCCACAGTGGGTCCCTGACTCTTTTTTTTCGCAAGATACCTCTTTCAAAATGATTGGAAGCGATTTTTTTTCCACCTAAGAAATTTATTTCTAGAAATTTAAGATTTCCATATTTTTCTCACCCTGTATATTTGGAACCATTCTGGGTAACTGAATATGTCTAGACATGGTAATCAGTGCTTTTTCTTTTTTTCAATTCTATAACTGCTATTTCATTTAATAGACCAAAATACACACGGAATTCCAAATGGAGGTAGAATATATATTTTTTTTTCATAAAAAGAATCAATGTGAATAAAATATTGGTAGTAGGTTTTGAAAACTCTTAAGGATAATTGAAATTCGCAAACTTATTTAATTTTATAGTCTTAATATGTGAACATAATAATACACTGGTATTATAATTTATTTTTTTTACAATTAATGAAGTTGGAAATTGCAATATTGCTCTATTAAGGATTGTACAAATTCAGTATTTTTTTAAATATCCTTTATATTTAAGAAAAAATAGCTATTTAACGAAATACATAGCTTTTTCTCTGTCTGAACATATAAATACGTAATATTTTTAAGACATAAAAAGCATCATGCAATATCGCTTTCAAACGGTAAAATAATTCTGATGATTTTTTTTTAAAAAATATTTTTAAAATCCATGACAAACAATGAAGTTGCTTTTGATATCAGGAAAAAACGTTCCCATTTAATAGCTATTTTTTTTAGCGTAATCTGTTGGTTTAAATTTAACGATTTATAAAGAGTATATGTTTGAAAGCAAAATGTACAAATAAATAGACAATTTGTAGCCTTAAATAAAAATTATTATTATTTATCACAAACTATATATTTTTATTATACATGTGTGGTAAATAATATCAATGTTTTTTTTAAATGATTCTTAGTGGACATTTTGTCGGAGATGATAGGTTTTGTTGGGAACGTTTTTTCATGGACTCAATCAACGAAGAGTTAGGAAAATGTGGAAAATTAAATTAGTAAACTGACTTTTAGGCAGTGACTAAAACACCGGTGGACAAAATTAGGAGATGGAAAACGTTTTCCCAAATAACTCGAAAAAAAACTTGAGAGAAATAAACAGCTTTAATTGTCTGGCAAAAATGCGTAGAAAACAACAACTAAAATGCAATTCAGCATTACAAACAAATTAACTAATAAATTATTTCACTATTAGCCGTTTAGCATCAGTAATGGTCAAACTATTAGCCTTTTAGCATCAGTAATGGTCATGAGTCCAGAGAAATCCAATATTCAGATTTAAATGGCAGTGAAAATGTGGCTAACATGGTGTGACACACAGCAAGCGCAACGAGTAACCATGTAGTTAAGAAGTGAATTTAAGAGTGCTAGTGGAAGTCACTGACCGGTGACTGAGCGGTAGCGTTTCGCGCTGTCGTGCCACAGGTCCCTGGTTCGATCCTCGGGCCGGGCAAGGTTGACTCAGCCTTTCATCCCTTCTGTAAGTAGATAAATGAGTACTAAGCATGCTTGGGAACTAAACACTGGGGGGTTCCGCGTTCGGCTGACCACCTGACCGGAACAACTACTCCTTCACCCCAAAGCCCAAGAAAACTGAGATGGGCACAGTAGGCCTTGGCCCTCTATGAGCTGTCGCGCCACTGAGTTTAGTTTTTAGTGGAAGTCACTTCCACTTTTCCTTAAGAGCAGTTTTTTACTCTTGAATGATTCTGGGAGGAGGCTGACGTAGTGCAACTGTCCTCCCAAGAGCATTCCAAGTAAGTTCAATAGGATTAAGGTCAGGAGATCTGGCTGATCAATCCATTCGAAAAATATCCTCCCTTTCCAGACAGTCATTAACCAGCCGGACCCTATATGCTCTTGCACTGCCGTCCAGAACAATGAGCTGAGGGCCAGTAGCACCCCTGAAAATTCCCACGTAGGGCTCTAGGATCTCTTGCCTATAACTCTCCGCATTTAGTGAACCATTGTTAAACACATGGTGCGGAGTGCGGGTATCTTGCATGATCCCTGCCCAAATCATCACTCCTTTACCACCATATATGTCCCTTTCCATGATATTGCTAGGATGGTATCTGGTTCTATGTTCCCTCCATATACGAAGACTAGCTGAGAATCAGACAGTAGACTGAATCTGGACTCATCTGTGAAGAGGACACTTGCCCATAGAAGCTGTTTCCAATGTTGATGTTGTATGCATTATTTTAAACGCTCTAGTGCTTGGCTGCAAGTACCAAATACCGATCATCATTCACCGTTGTGGTTCTCGGAAAATCTTGTCTTGGTTTTCTGGAAACAGTCCCACTTACTTCATGCCTACCGACGGTTCTCCACTTATACCGCCATCTAAGCGATGTGTTCTCACATAACATACAGCAAGACTATTCAAGAGAGGTAATAAAAGAAAACTACTGCAATGTAGAGTGGAATTAGCTGAGCAGCACTTTTATACCTCCTACTGGCGTAGAACCGCTCACACGAATACGAAAACCTATCTCAACGTCACCAGCTTTACAATGACATTATATGGCACCCAAATACGCCAATTTTGTATAATGTTTTAACAGAAATGTGGGTAAATCTCTAAATTTTGTCCAACAATGTATTTTTGATAGTAAATGTTTGAAAAATGTACAGATAAAACAAAATATTTTAAATGACTTTCAAATAGAGAAATGAGTTTTATAGAAAAGTTTTTGAAGAATATGTAAGTAAAATGAAATATTCAAATCACCCGTCAATTGATGAGGTAATTTTGAAGAGTGCTTGAAGATAGGTGATTTTAATTTTGATAAAGAGTGTTAGAAGAATGCGCAAATAAAACAAAATATTCAAACTAACGTTAATTTTGATTAAGAGTATTTGAAGTTTGTGTAGTAAAAACAAAATACTGGCTGTTGTATATTTTACAGTTACGGATAACTGAAAATCTAAGTTTTGAGTTAAAAAGAGAAAATATTATGATTTGAAAAGTAAAAAAAAATCTTAGATGTCAATTAAAAATGATTTTTATGTTAACAAAACAGTTTGTATTTTGTTAATGTAATAGGGTAAATATTTTTTTATTTTTGAAATTGTAAATGAGAACAATGGAAACATTTTTGAGCCATCACTGAAGAAATGCACAGGGAAATCGCGAAAAACATAAAAGGCTTTGCCTGAAAAAGAACACAATAATATCACATACATATTACCGTACTTTCATACAGTTTAATTTGTTTTTATCAAAGACCACATAATTGTTATTGCCTATAAGTCCAAGAATGGAACTGATATGTTTGCAGGTGGTTTTAAAATACGAGTTAGAAAAAGAAACAAAGGAATTTGAATAGCATTTCTTTTCTTTAATTTCAAGTTAATGGTTCGGATTAGAGAATACTAAAATGTGACCACCATTTAAGACTGGTATCTTTAAAAACATTGTAAAACATAACATAAACAACATATAATATATAAATAACTATAAAAGTAATAAAATGCATGATAATTAAATATACATCATTTACAAGTAGGCTGATGCTACCCAGAGCAATAAATACGACAATCACAAGAATAATTTAAAACATATAGTTGCAGAAACTGAAACAAATACATAAAAAAATAGACATGGAATAAAATGACTAGTATTAATCAAGTTTACAACAAAACTTTCTACGCCATATTTTGAAGCTCTTAAATATAGTAGTAAAATTAAAACAAGCTCAAAATGACTAGAAATAAATTATGGAAAACGAATAGTTGTTTTAAACAAATTATCAGAGGTACCCACACTACATTTGCACTTATTATGCACTTTTGGCGCTTTATTAAGAGAAAACGCCATCATGTTCTTAAATGGAATTAAATTGTTCACAGCAATTGAACAACACACATTTAAGGTAGTCTTCATCAACTTTTCTAGACAGTTTATTAATATATTTTTTAAAAAAATAATGGAATTTAATATTGAACAAATTATTATTTTTCTGATACTAGGAATGGCTATTGCTACATTGTTTATAAAGCTTGACATGGTACATTAATATGTCTATAACTATATTGCTCAAGTTCTTTGTTTAGATGCCGCGTTTTCTTTATAAAAAAAAAAAGAAACTTTGAGAGTAATACGACTGAGTTGATTAAAAGAAGGGGATATTGTGCTTTTTTTATTAACACATTCGTATGAACATAAATCAACTTACCAAAAATGTAAAATTTTATTCAAGTTAGCAAGATTATTTATAAGATGGGTATGATAAATTAAGCTATGTACGATAAGATACTTGCTTAATTTGTAAAGTTACCTGTTCTACATTAGAATCAAATTCTTAAATAATGTGCTAAAATTGTTCTTAAAATATCAAAAAAACATACACCTTATTTAAATAAAATGATAATCTTTTCTAATTAAAAACGCTAATTGTTAACATTATATAATGAGCATATCAGATGATTTATGTTGATACGTCTCACTCTTGTGAAATATATGAAATATTTTCAGAATTTCTCTCTCCCTCTAAGATTTTCATTAGATTCAACTAAGGAAATAAATAAAAAACTTTTTCCAGAAACTTTAGCGCTGTTTAGTTTCTGATATTTTCCTAGACATACAAGACTATAGCTATTGCTTTCAGGAAAGTATACAAATTTATTAATTATACTGTACATGCTAAAAATATTGTACATATAGAAAAAAAAATCCTATATTTTTCGAAATATTTCGTTCATATCAGTTCATATATTTTTCGAAAAAATAATAGTTTTTATTTATTGCTGTCTTAAAAGCAGTTAAATTCTCCAATTAATTCAAAAACTTGGTGTTGCTTTGTTGAATGATGATTTTGTAAGTCGGTCTCAGATAACGTTACTGACTTATGTAAAATACGATTGTTGGCGACCGGTATTAAAAACATTGTGCGATACAACACTTTAAAATACACATTTAAGGAATTTTACGTGTACTAGTAGTAAGTTAAGATGAAAATACACGTGATTTCCAAATTTTAAAAAAAAATATTCAAGTAGTCATATTACGACAAATTTGGTTGTATTAAATATTTTCAGTGTTGGTTAACAATGAAAAAAAAGTTTCAGGGTTTATAAGTTCTTTTCTGTTCTAAGATTTACTTTTTATTGTCACTGCTTCATACAAAATGTAACTAGTGCAACACCGTTGAACACAAAATGGAAAACAATGAAGAGTTTAAATTGCTATTCAGTATTTCGCATAAAGTCATAAAAAAAAATTCTTTTTTAGCACAACTATGCAAAAAGTATATTTAAGTTGAACAAACAAAAATATTTTTCAACATTTTTTACAGCAGTGTAAGTACCTCTTTTTTATATAAATTCTAAATACAAAAAAGTAAAATAAATAGAAATGAAATACAACTTCAAAACATGGTAAAAATTAACATTTAAAATAACACAGACAAACTAGGACCACCTGGTCGCGAAAATTACAACATCGAATTTCCAGATAAAAAAAAATCAGTAGAGAATTCTCCCCCATTTCATTTTAAAGATTTTTTTCAAATAAATAGTTCCCTTTCTTGTACTTCTCGTAAATACATATTTACCACAATTCATTCTGACAACATTTTGTTGATCAGAAAACACACGTTGACATATGTACATACAAAAAAATAAGTAAAAATGTGACAATCTTTTCATACAATTGAGCGAAATTCTACAAAATACTCGTTTGCCACGCTTGAAGTGTGAGGAGTTAAAAAAAGTTCTGCGGTGAATTTCCCTTTCTAAGCAACTCTTCTTGGCTTCTTATGTAATTCTTCACCATTTCTTAATGACATGTGCTTCGCAGATCATTCAAGAAAAAAATAACAACTATATATTAACTATTCGAATTATAGATTCTTAACCTAACTATTCGAGAAAAATGGCATTTATTATGGTTTTCATCTGGTTTTGATTTAATTAAAAATTCTGTAATTTTCTCGTTAATATAATTATCTATCTTCCTTGAAATTTTCACGATTATTCTTAATTCTTTTGTTATCTATGCTAATCTTGTAGATAGATTGCTGAATAGGATAATAAAAAAAAAGGAAACTGGAGACAAAAAAGCGCTAGATCTTTATCATATAGTTAAACAAATTTAGTTGATAAACAATAATTTCTCGCCTTTTGGAGAAATGATGTTTAATATTTTAAAAAATCATGAGCATAATTGCCAAATTAACAGTCTGTCAAAGCACACGTCTACATAAGGTGTCATTCAAAGTAATATATTTTTTTTGTGTTTTACAAAAGTAAGTAGATTGTCAAAGGCCTGTAGTGAATGGAAACCAAGAAAACAAATTTGTTTCTCACATTTACATATGTATAAACACAAATATTTACAATATGCATATACTTCTGTAAAAACTAGAAGCATAAAAAACTCTAGCTTGATATAGACAAAGCCTTTAGCGCAATGTGCACAAATTTCACATCTACGTTGACATTGAAGTGTACTTTGGGATTGCGCTAAATGTTACTCAACTTTCAACTATACAAAGATATATTGCTTTAGGGTGGTACCATTGAATTGTCAGAGTGCTCTTTTTTTTTCAACCGTAGTAGCCTACACGAAGAGTTTTTTAAACACCTTTTAACTATGCTTCTTCATAGGATTAACCGTTAAATAACATTCATGGAATTGCTTCTATTTAAACTTATGGTCGAGAACATTTATTACATTTAAGCAAATTAAAAACCTTATTTTTGCATCAAAATAAACTACTAGAATTAATTTTTTACTATAAATATTTATTATTAACATACGCATTTAAAAAGAAGGTGTCTTAAAAATATCCAATTCTACTAAAAACAAGTTTAAAATAATAATTTTACTATTTATTAGCTATTTTTAGAAAGTAAAATTAAAATTTTGAATATTTCAGCCATGTTTTGAGGTTAATTGATTTCAGAAATGATTGAATAATTCAGAAACGAAGTCTTTTTGAGGATAGTTAATACACAGTGGTTAATAAATTAACTCCAATTTATGAATAGAAATATGCGAAAAACATTTGTGTCAGCTGTTTTTAAGTCAGAATAGTGCGCGAGGACTTATGTACGGAATATATATTTAGAGACATATAAAAATATGTGGCTCTTTCTTTCCTTTTGACGATTTAGAGAGACTTCAATAGAAGCACTTCGTTCAAGTGCAAATACAAAGAATAGTGTCATAAATATCTACAAAATGTCTCATGCTTGAAAATGGATACAAGCCTCTATTTAGTGCTTGCAAAGTTTCTTATTTATCAAAAAAGGTTTTAACGTTAATGCTAGAAAGATAGCAAATAAACTTAGTTAAATGCCTTAAGCTATCAGTGAAATAATGTTTTTAAGGTTTCGCTTCACTTGATTCATTATCATATCTCTTTATTTTTGTACATTTAATAGAGTAAAAATAAAACAAAATAAAGTGAACTTAGTTCAAGTTAGATAAAAGCTTTTAAAAAACTCCATATTCTCGAAATTTTTGGGAATCTATTATATTATTGCTTACACTTTGGGTAAGAAATAAACGCTAGCAGTTACCATGATCTTTTCAACTGATCAACACATTTTAATTTTTGAAAATTTTGGCACATAGTGATATAGTTCAGTTCTGCTGTAACACTTCTTATGATCATTTCCTTCTGACTCGAAAATCTAACTTCTGTGCTTAAAGTCCCGTGCTTTGTCGTGTTTAAAAAAATAAAAATAATAACAATACAGCATAAAGAAACAATATTTGTTGATTAGGTTAATGCGTAATGATGAAGACTAGCTAACATATCACTTACGAATTTTTAAAAAAGATGATACAGGTTATGAAAAGATGATAGCGCATATTAAAAAAATGCAAATTTTAAAATAGAAAAATAAGTATGATGCAACAGAAAAGATCAATCCATTTTTCTATAAAAATATTTTTAAAATGATAAGCAATACATATTAAAACGACTTTTAACACAAAGTAATGACTACAATAATAGCTGCACAAATCTGAAATAAAATAATACATAAAAAATAAGCTCTAATAATAAACAGAATTGGTCTCTAACTGACACAATTTAAAAGCATTTCATAGTTTATGGATATGATAATTATGACAGTAGACAAATCGTTAAATCTTGTTTTTAAATGGCTAAGGAAAAGCATATTTTAACAGTATGAAATTTAGAGTTATCCAGGCACCTCATTTATAATTTTTAACTGTGAGAGTATATCTTTAGACAACAAAATCTATCACAGTCTATCAATTGACTAGATACTAATTTGTAACAAGAAATTAGGATAAATTATTTTGTAATAAAACATGGAATGTTTATCAATTATTTACTTTATCAAATAAATCACACACACTCTCTCTCTCATTAGCTCAAAAATAAATAACATTCTCAACTTTACATGGAATAAAAAAATACTGGAAAAGATTAATGTCATTTTTATTCCTAGTAAACACCACTTCTTATTTATAGTAAATTGTTTGATAGATTGTGAATTAATAATAAATAGTTAAGTTAATTTAAATATGATTGTGGCTGTTAAGTTTATTTTTTTTAAAGTTGTGTCTCAATTACGTTTCTTTTAATGCTAATTAAATAATTATATTAGTAAAAGCAAAGATACAATTGTATAACATAGGATATAAAATATTAAGGCTGTCACTTAAAGCTTGTAAAAATCATCTTTTCTTCAATCTGTCTTCTTACATAGATCTCTTAATCTTATCTTATCTCTTAATCTTATAAGTTGACTAAGAGCTCTCTGAAATCATGATTTCCGAGCGTTAAAGGGGGGTTTTTAGAGCAACTTAATACATTTAATAAAGTAAAAAGTAACCAGAAAATGGTCCAAAAGTAATCGTTATTGTTCTAACTAGGAAGCAAGTTTCGAACCTATTTATGAGTTTTTGAAATGAGAAGAGAACTGTTAAACTTCGTGGCATTAAAACAAAATGTAAATGGCTTTGAAAATATCCTTAAAATTTTGAAAAGTCTTTTAGAGGATTAAATAAATGCAAGCAAGATATTCAAAATTTCAAGCGAAATGCAGGTTGTCAGCACTCGTAATTTAAGACGTTGATATTAAACTGTAATTATATCGTAAAAGTGCGATTCTATAACGCTGATAAATCATGAAATTTACCAATTAAATAACACGTTTCGGTCGTGAATTTTTAAAATTTAGACTATATCTTTGACTTAAATAAAGCATGAAATTAAGTAGGATGGAATAAACATTCAAAATATTACTTCTTGCTTTGACAATCGATTACTGTTACAGAATGAAGTTAATATGTCATAAATGAAAAAGGGATTGAGTCAGTTAATTCACTGTGAAACAAGTCAATTAAATGGAAAATATTATCTGGTGAAGGTTTCTGAACACATCTTAAAAATTTTATTAAATGTACTTTTCAGAAAAATAGAAAGCTCATTTTTTTCACTATAAACAAAAAATAAATAAATAAATAAATCAAAGATAATTCAAATGAGTTTTTTGATGAGAGAAATGCTGTTAGTTTTGCTTTTATAAGTTTAGGTATCAACTGTCGTCCAGCGTGACGTCATCTATGGACGGCCGACTTTTAACTATAAACGCTGGAAAATCTAATATTGATGTATGTCCATTTGAATAATTTATTGCGATATCTTTACCATTTATTATTATCTATATTAGGCGGCAATTGTTAACAATTTACTAATTATATATCAGTTGTTGAAGAATTATTGCGAACGTTCTCTATTTGATACATTTTTCTTCCTCTATAGAACGGCACAATGACGTCATAACTCATGTATATTACAGCTAATTCCTAAAATATCTATCACACAGTCGAAGGCTCTTTATTCCATAATATTTGAGAACGTATTTACTTTACTATAGTGCCTCTTTTTAGTAAATACAGTTACTTTGCATAAATATATCCATTTTGAGAGCAATTTATATAAATTAATAACAGTAAGTAAAGTGAACAAGGTTAACAACGCTTTTAATAAAAAAGTAAATTTTTGTCAAATTTCAGCGAATTCATTAAAACTTAAAAGTACAGATTGTAAAAAATTGAATTTTGGAATGCATTAATATAAACCGGTCATTCGCGAGAAATTTTAGGATAAAGATTTAATTTTTTTTTGGCAAAGTGCACTAACCACCTTGCAAAAATGATAGTGTATCTTAGTTGATTATATACAATGTTATCACGAAGTGCTATTGTCTATTTTATTGCATAGTTCTTGTGAAAGCTGCAGCCATTCTGCAACGAGAATGCAAATAAGACCTTGTTCACTTTGACAGACACAGATGAGCAATGGTATGTTTAGGCTTAGCAACAAAGTGAACTTAGCCACATATACACATATGAATTTTCTACTTAGACTCCAGATGAGTCTAGGTTGTGCTTGGACAGGTGGAGTTCATCAACTCAATAAATAGAAAAGTCATCTTGTAAATTATACAAGATATTATTTCACAATGCTTTTTTCAATGCCAAAGAACTCTAAGGCACAAATTGAAAATTTCGATGTAGGCACCTATGAAGAATGCCAACAGAGTGAGTTTCAGACTTTACTACATCTTTTGTAAATTGACATTTTAAATCGAAAGTCTAATGTTGTTAAAACAGAGATAGTTTAACAGTATGTTAAAATTTATGTTTTATCGGTTTACTTCATTTTTTCTTTTTATAAATTCGCTAGTGAGATCCTACAAATTTATTCGTTATTCTGCACAGATCATGGCTATCGTAAATAAAAATCTAGTTGTTTACAAGAAGTAAATAAAAGTAATTCATTTAAAAGAATCCAAATAAATAATTATTTCCTACTGATAATGACTAATGAGTAACGTCTATGAATGAGCTAGAGCTACGTATAATTTTATATTTATGAAGAGTATAGGTTAGAACAACCTTTTTCTGCAAAAATATTGTATTTATAGCTATACACAAAAATAAAATTTGTTCTATCGAACAATCTTAAACTCAATTAATTGAATTTTGTACAAGAAAAATATACATGGAAGCTTTCTAATATTCAGTGGCTAGATAGTTTATAGTTAGAAATCTCTGATAAAAATAAAACTGAGCAAAAGTTTTCAATTTACAAGTTGGATGGCCTTTAGAGTTCTTTCGCTTAAACACTGATCATTGGTCGTACAATTTATTTCTGAAGCGAAATTGTCAGATCCATTTTCCTTAAAAGTTCATTCATACAAAAAAGAAATTCACCCAATATTTTTTTCACATACCCCGACAGCCAGCATTAAACCCCTTTGGTTACGAAGTTGTGACAATAGTTGTTAGAATAGTCGGTTTGCTGTCGGGACTCGTCGCGTCGCTGCTGTTATTGGTGGTTGAGCTATTCTTTGTAGCAGTTGGTGTATTGCCACATTTATCTACTTCTTCCTGCCATTTGTCCTGAGATCGTCGCCGAGCGTTCATGAAAAAATTACCCACAGTGCTGAGTTCTAGTCCTAATTGTTGAGAAATAGTAATTTGCATTTCTTTTGAAGGACGCTTTGTCTCTTTAAAGATCGCTTGTAATGTCCGCCTTTGAAGATCAGTAAAAACAAGTCGAGGCTTCTTAGGTGTATTTTGTGATTTAGCTTGTTGCTGGTCTTCTTTCCGCTTGCATGCTATAAGAAAAAAAAAGAACAACAAATTAGATGCGTAAAAGTATACAAATGTGTGAAAAAGAAAAGCAACTAGTGTTTTAGTTAACTCATTAGTGTTTTTAAACTCATTTTTACATTGACGTATTAATTTTCTTACAGCAAAAATCATGCCTGGCACATCTGATAATGAATCGAAATATAGAATAATGTTTTACGAAAAATAAAAACTGAGTGTAATTATTTGATTATTAAAGGGTACCATGGAGACTACTCGCTAGTAATCAAAAAATTATGTATAATTATATTTAATTCAAAATTTAAAATAATTTGAAAGGAAACCATATTTTTCTAATTGTCAACTGTGAACAATTACAGAACTGTTTTAAAACATAATTCAATCATTATTTTAATAAAAAAGAAACACAAGATTCAGAATATGTAGGCATTCAAATTGAGGTTTTAAAATACTACTTTCTGAGTTTTCACTCTTTTCGAAAAAAATTGTAGAATTATTTTAATGCATAATATTCTAGCTGCATACAGAATTGCTTTGATGCAAAAAGGTTTTATCTCTTCGAAAGAAAAAGGTAAAAAAAATGACATTTTACGGGGAGTGAAGAACAACGCCCAATCCGTGCTCTCTAATAAAGGTGTGATGAATAGGTTAAACATATTGAAAAGGCATTATGCAAAAATAGATGTCGGTGCTGTTGTCAAATTCTTTACCTTATAATAAAATATGGAAAGAAGAGCTGAACTGTTGATGCCTATTTTGAGCAAGATGTTTTCTTCCTTTTAACAATTTTGAAACTTCTTCTCACGTACTACTTTTTCCCCCTTAAGAATTTCAAATGATGTTATCGAAAGAATTAAGTAAATGTAATCAACTTTTAATAAACAGGGATGAGAGTAGTCAGAAAGTAAAAAAGAGGAAATCCAAAAAACAAAAAAAAGAAAGAAAAGAAGAAAAAAAATATATATACATATATATAGAAACAAAAATTTGNTCCCTGAATAAATTAGTAAATATTGTACAAAATTAAGAGAATATTTCATACAAATTCATGAATTTTAAGTCTGTAATAAGTAAGTTAAAAAACAAAAGTAAGTTAAGTTAAAAACAAAAAAACAAATTCGAAATTTGTATGCAAGCATCTCTTTCTGTTTAAGTAAAAGTCTGGAAGGGATGCACCTTTCTAAATGAGACATCAGTTAGCACTTTTATCCGCAATCAAATTTCGCAAATTAACAATATAGTCCACTATTGCTCCGGCAACCCCATTTTCGCGCAGTGTGATTCTTTTATTTAAACCTTGATCGTGTTTCTAAGTATCGATTTTATTATATTTAAAAAAAATTAACGAAAAAATAATAATTAACAATAGCCATAATAGGAAAAGTTTATCAGATAGCACTCACATCTTTATTAAACAAGATATTTGATCGGTTAAAACAAAAAGAGCTTGTATTTGAAATTATTTAACCACAGTTATACAGACAGCTAGCGTTTCTTAAGGGACTATTCTACTTAGAAATAATAGTTTGTGCTAAATATTAGTTTGTGACCCTTAATTTTTTCACTTCAGTTTTTACAAAGATTCTAAAAATACGTATAAAGAGCTGTTAATCAGAACACGCAGTATAAAACGCCTCAAAGCTTCACATGACCAAATACACAGCTACAACCAAAACTACAAAGATGTATTTTTGAATCTAATGTATGAAAGTTTTTTTTATGAGGCAATATGTTGGTAGTGCAAGACAGAAAAACTTAAAATGTATCCTTATACGGGATCAGACATTTTCAGTTCGCAAATAATTAAGTAAATTTTATCAATATTTTTAGTAGGTACCAGGATTAACTTGTTGGGTAATCACAAAAATGTTTATAATAATAGAATTTCTAGTTAAACATGATCATGATTTTAAGAACTTAAGCTTTTAGAAAATAACAGCTGTTTTAAAATTTCCTAAAAAGACAATACGGAGTTGTTTAAGACAGCGAGAAAGGTAAAAAAAACACGCAGAAAGCTACGTAAATAAGAATAACGCTAAGTTGTTTACCTTTTGCAAGCAAACTATAATAAAGGAGTAAATAAAATCAATATTATTGATTTTTACTCTCAAGTAAACTCATGTCACCACATTTGCCTATCACTATGGAATCTGCTGAACAAAACATTATTTCAAAATAAACAAATTAGTTTTCTCCCCACAAATTAGGTACTGGTTATGGTCAGGACTCCAAGAATTTGAAAAATGTAGGTAGACAGCAAAAATTTCTGGTAGCAAGTAAAAATAGGAAAAATATTGGCATTTCCCCGTTTCAATTTTTTCCCCCTGCCAAATTAGAAATTTTGTTGAATACATCCATGCATAAAAATCCAATGTTATAATTTCGAAACGCTATTACAAATGAATGAAATACTTATTACAACATAATAAAATATTATAAAATTTTTTGAAAGAAATTATTAAATATTGTGTTTTTACAATTAAATATGTATATCATCCGAGAATTTGTGATTACGCTTAATAAGGTCCATTATAGAGAAAGTGTTTGCAGAGGGTTTTTAAGGCAAAATTATAAATTGAGATGTAACTTAGTCAAAATTTCCTAGTTCGTGTAATCGAAGAATTTCGAAAAAAACATTTACATTCCAAATTTTTTTAATACGATATTATTACAAAACTCAGGATCAGAAATTTGAGGTATATGTGACAGTGCGAAGATAAGGAAAAACAGAATTTTTCTCCGATAATTGTTGAAAAAAAGGGCGAGAACGAGAAATAAAATATAGCAAGAGATCAACTCTGTCCGATTTTTCATATCATTGAAAGTTGTCTGAAAACAAAAACGGAAATTTCCGAATCCTAATTAACGTAGAATGGAGCAAAAGAAGGAAAATATCATCCGAGAAACTAGCAAACTCCAAAAACAGAAACTAGCAAAACAATTCTATAAGAGTAATGCTAAATTCATCTCTTTCAGGATTATTTTGCGAACCCTAATGTGTTTACTCTTTTTTTCAGTTTTTCAAGGAATTTAAAAATACATATTAAGGGTGGTCCTTACGGAACACCCTGTATAATTGTTAAGCAAAATGTTACAGACTACATGCAATCTATCACTCCCTTGATATTCCCAATCCTGCCTCTCTCAATAATAATTCGCCAGAATTTGCAGGAGTTTTTGTTTTTTGACCCATAATATGCATATTTTTGTACTTCAATTTAGACAAGGATTTATAAAATATATATTAAAGGTGACAATTATGGAAAAACCTGGCATAAATAGTTTGATATAAAATCTTGGCAGATTGATTAAAAAGAATCAGAAAGTAAATCTGAATTAAATAATGCAAACAGATGATTTATTTAAAAGGCTCATAAAAAGTAGGCATAAATAAATTCTTAAACTTAATGATTGCAGAAATATTGCAGGAACTATGAGATAAAAACATTTTCTTTCTATCATATTAAAATCTGGAAATTGATTAATGAAAAGTTAGTAAGGATCACTACTTATGTCTATTTTTATTTGGGAAATCATTTTTAATCATTTCTGTAGACTTAAATTCTACATATCTCTTAACACTATTTACAGAAAATATTTCATGCGTATAGTTGCATACCAGCCCCTTCTACACTGTTAGAATTTTCTTCCTAAAATTATGGTAAAATTACCGGCAGCAGTCTGTCTACCTAATTAATAGAAAGTTTACGGTAAAGCATATTTTTACCTTTAAGATTTTGAAACTGTTTATAACTAGTAAGGTAAAAAAACATGAATGCAAAACTATACGTTTTTTTAACCATTTACAACCAGCATGGATTCGAAACCATAAAAGAGAAATTTAGCTGGGTATGAAGATATATAAGCAGCTTTATAGTGCTGCCATCAATGTGTGAATGAGAGTAATAGCCCTAATTAAGGATTGCAGGACAGGTAACTTTTCACGTGTTGAAAATGGATGAATGAAAATGGAATTAAATAAACTGTTATTTAACTATTTTTTTCCAGAATTTTCTAACAGTGTAATTCATTCGTAGTTAACTGACATTTTATATAAATGTTTGAAAATAAAAGGTAATTTAGCGTGAAATATCACATTTTTTTAAACAGATTTGAACCATTTTTAAAAGACATGGCATATAAATTTATAATAGTTATGTTTGTCTTAATGATTTTCTGATGGTAAATTGATTATTGATGGAACAATTTATGAATTCTCAATATCAGTAGGTAACTGGGAAATTTATTACAAAAAATCCTAACATAAAACGTTATTTCTAAAAAAAGCAAGTTAGGTTTTACCTCTTTTTTAAGAGATTTTTTAAGGAGAGGATTTAATTTCAGTTCTACATAATATAAAGTCAATCAGGACTACATAATGAGAAACTTGTCGCACTCTCTTTTTAGTCTATAATTAAAAAATAGTATGAAATATATAATTTAAATTACCAAGAAGAAAAATCAACCTGATAATTTTATTTATGGTGTTAAAACAAAAATATCTCTTAAAATTCAGTTAAATATTTTCAAAAACATTTCTAGGAGTGGAATTCCGAGGGAAGTGACATCTGAAGAACTCATGATATCGAGCCTAAGAACATTTTTGGTAATACAAATTTGTTAAAGACTTTGTGCATAAAAGATGAAATTTGATTTATTATAAATCTTAAATCTATAAAAAATAAGAATGGATTCTTGATCCAATGAAAAAGAAATCCAATATCATTTCTTGTAATTTTGGTTTTCCTTACATGTTTTGTTTCCATAAATAATTATTTTATAATGTTGTTTACTATTGTTAATACATTCTAAGTTTAATCTGACGATTCAAACACTAAAGCATTGAGCTAGTTTGGATGCAGACGAAACATCCGCCACGTGCTCTTGTTATGGTTCAGCACCGATATTGATTTAAAAATCACTAGCTGACGTCATTCAAATGACTCGCATCAAAGTTTCTTAGCCCTTCGGCCCGCCTGGCTTGATTAAAACAACACTGTGAAAG